GGAGCTATAGTCGGATTACACTGTGAACAACCGATTGGGTAAGGGTTCACAATAAATGAAGTGCAAATCCGCTGGCTTACCTCAACAGTGTAAAAATCAATGCAGCCCCCCTTTGCACAACCTGTCGATCGGCGTAGACGAGCAAATTTTCTACAAGTTTCGGGCATTCATCCGCGGCGCATCGGTACAGCTGTTTCAGGACAGGACTCAAAGAACAGAACAGAGAGCGGATGTAAATGGATCAGTGGAACGAAAATGATCATAAAACTGGAGTGGACTTAAAAGTCAAACTTATTACTAAGTTAAGATAGTTTACTTTACCTTTTCGACAGAGTAAGGAGCCATTTACTATTAAGGATAGGCAGTTCAGTTGCGGAGAACATTAATTGAAGACAGGAGTAGCGAACTGATTTTTTTTTATTACACAATTTCGTGGGATGAACAGCAGACGGGGTTAACCTCATAGTCACGAGGACCTGATGTTCAGAGGAAATTGGAAATTGGTAACCTAGGCCCCGGGACTTGGAGTGGNGAAACACATAAGGCCCCGACAGATTAGGCGTGGTATTGAACCGGACGACAGGAAAACTACTTACCACCAAAGCCGGATGGCCGTGCTGGGGTTCTAACCTCGGACCATAGGATCCGCAGCACGCCGCTGACAGCGACTAAACATCTGCACCACCACCAACTTCACATAAGGACTAGTTAATTGATCTTGCGATGTGGTGTATGGATCCCGGGGAGGGGGGTGGTAGTAACAGGATCCGAATAGTGAATTGAAAGCGCACGATTATTGCCACCACAACCACTATGGTAGAAATCGACTTATCCTTAAACATACTAATCGAAATCCGGTTCTGCACTAACCGTCTAAACTTCTGCAAATTGAATACAAATATGAAACGTTCATGGTTTTATTCACATAAACATATCCAAGCATGATAGTGGAAATTTGCCAATAATAAAAAGCATTTCTTCAACAGTATCGTGATTAAGCGCTAAATAACACACACACAGCAGTCAAGCGTTTAAACACTAACACTACGACCCGATTTCTCATCTCATGACAAGTTTCGACTACCAGCTCTTCATCGACTCTGACTGTACACGTGTGGTATATCCGAAAAAAAGGAACAGATGACTGCTACCATGACTATTCTCATTAGCACCCGACGCCATATTTTACCTGTGGTCTAGTGATAGAAATGAAGTTGGTTTTGTTAGCAATGCGTGGGCCGTTAACAACCAGACAGTTTCACGGGCATGGGTCAAATCAAAAACTTGATCAATTGCGCAGAGGAGGGATGCGTAAGAAAAGATTTGCCACCGTAAATCACTGTGATCGATGCAACGTCAAAAATGGTATCTATACGTCCGGTGTATAGATCGCATTTCCTTGATTGAAAGCTTTGTCACATGCAACGGAACTAGAAAGGTTTACTTGGTTGAGGTCGATGACAGATGTGAAAATGGACGATTTCGAGACAACTGTGAAAAAAGGGGGGAATCAATGCGGACAATATCCTAACGGTTTACTAAATACATTAGCATTATCGAAACATTCTGTGCTAACCGTGGTAATTCACTAACTGATCCTTTCCATGAGACGTTGAATAGGAATGGTCTCGGTATTAGAAAATGACCGTAGATGAGTTATGGGAATCCAGCGGAGAGCAATTAGATATAAAATAACGTCGAACAGCTGACACATTCATTTACCTATACCACGGAGGTAATCACATTTTGACCAAGACGCGTTAACTTGAGTTGATCTGGCGGATCTGAGAATTCATTATATGTTCGTCGACCACAAAAAAGCAAAGCAAAGGACTCTAGGTTTGGTGTCTTGTGCTCGTACCTTCAAAAATATCAGTACGATCAAGTTAAAAGGGCAAGCACCTCGAATAGCCTCTTTTGATGAGATTTTATTCACAACCCTAATGTGGCGGTGTTTCCCATTCAAGCAGAAGGAAGACAAGTCGGCGTCCGGAACTGTAACCGGGTCAGATCAACTAGGAAAGTTGGCGAAAATCACGATACCCAACCAACAAAGAAAAGCGGTACGAAACACCCCAAATCTACACCTTCCTGGTCCTGACACTGGTTATCGACCTGTTTGGGCGCCTTGAACATTGGACACAATCCAAAGGGTTTGTCTGAGTGACAACTTTGTACTGCTGCAGTTTCCCTGATCCCATGCGGTTGAAACATCAGGCCCATGAGTGGCCCGGATAAGCTGGCAACATTCCGCTCACAAGCAAACCACGGACCTTGTTCCTTTCCATGAAGATTATTGCGCAATGGTTTGTTTGGCACACCGCCTGGAGTTAGACCAGTGTGAAATATAATATATTGGGTGGGACCGATTCATCGTGTACAGAGCAAATGAAGTATGAATTAAAAAGCTAGGAATGACAGGACAACTGTTTCGACCTGAGTGGGTCACATCAGCAGTGCTAATCCACTGACCCAATTGAAGATCAAACACGGGACCTCACAGGTAGAAAGTATAGCACACCCTTGATCACCGGGCAACTGATCGGAGTGTTTTTCCCATTTCGCCTATACCTGTTAGAATGATATATGCGACGAATGAGGATTTTATGGTATGCTTCGTGTAACAGAGCCTGAGTTCCTCTTGAACAGTAACCATTATCGAATTTATCTTATCACATCTTACCGCCTACGCAACTCCAGTTGAACCAGGATTGACTAACGGAATCAACAGGCCCGTAGAACCCTGAAACTAATAAGTCTTCTACTGATCAGGAATGAAAGACCATTGACACGATTTATAAAATGTGGCATTTACTTGATGTACATTCATACTTTGGTGTTGCTTATACAGCAGTGTATCGAGGATATGACACCACAGTCAAATAGCGCTTTGTAAATGAGCACTGAATAACTTTCTGAACAGGAACGCGGATTTCCTAAAGGGAACGTACGGAACAGGTATCAAAATCAAATTCCACATTTTGTCCCATACATTGTCTAAAGCAAAATTATAGTGACACGATAGATTTAAGATACAGACTCACTTTGGCCAATGCAATTCATGGTGATACATATTCACGATCCAGATAAATAATTCTAATGCGTTATGTAACGCCAGTCTGGGATGCAGAGGCTTAATCGTCTGGGCACGATCGGATACTGGGGAGGCAAGCCAATGAAGCAATGCTTCGTGCAGTCGCGTTGAGCGCAACAGGGCCAATCGTTGGGCGCGCTCGTAAGGGACGGCTTTAGTCAGAACCGACCGTGGACCGTGGGGGTCAGACTCAGCACAAGACGAAGATGCGTTAGTCGCAGTAACTGACTGATCATTGGAGGTCGATTGATACCATATTCTCGAATGTGTGAAACGATGCATGCTCAACCCAATCACGGAGAACAGATCTGACAAATTCTGTGAATGCTGTTCTTTCTCCGGGTTGTTCACGTTCGGGGACTATGGATAAGAACGGTGAGAAAAAAATGAACGTGAAATCAAGGGCAAAATAGCACAAGTTTAGCTAGAGCTCATCCTAATGCACCACAAGACAGTGTGACCTACAGTATAAAACGCAGAACGCGGTGCGCCCATCACTTAATTAAAAGGATTCAAACTGTGACCTTTGACTCCACGCCACTATGATCAACCACTAGAAGGGTGAAAGCTCAATTAGGAGACGTAACTATTCATTCAAGATAACTGAAAATCTTGGAGAAACGAACTACATACAGCATCCCAAGGATACATTGAGCCGGGCGCTAATGAAAATTGTTTTGGAAGGGAAAACCAAATGTGAAAAGATCAGTACTACCGCTGTGGCCACGGGACTCAACTCGTGGATGGTGCGCTGCACGTTGGAACGGTGACACAGTCACTCAATTGAAGTTGTGGGTACCTTTGCTGTCTTCCGGCTCAGTACCCCGTATCATACATAGTCCCACTGCTTAGGTTGCCTATTATCATGAGTGAACAGTAGGTTCTTGTGACCACGAAGCTTACCCTTCTATTGCTCATCACGCAATCGAATATGATAGGTTGTTTTGATTAAATGTGTTTAATTGCCTTTTTCTCCTTTTATAATATCGTATAATGACCGTTTTCACAGACTCTATTGGGGAAATCCGAATCACCGCCTTGTCACGAAGTTTTTCGGTGACGAAAGGAAGAGAAGCCGTTATGCTGAAATAAAGACGGGTTGACGTGTCACTAGCAGTTAACTAGTCAGATGAGGCTGAAAAACTCCCATTCCAAACCAC